CATGTTGTTACGAGATGTTGGCCACGACAAACAGAGGAATATCACGTGAAGTGAGAAGCGTTGAAAAATATAAAGGGGCAGAAATTACTTCATCAAGAAAACTAAATTTTAATTAAAACCCAGTACACATGCAACGTTGAGACAATGTGGTTAACATAGGTGTACACACACAGTGTGGTTAACATACAGTGAGGGATAAAAAATTTGATCCCCTGCTGATTTTGTACGTTTGCCCACTGACAAAGAAATGATCAGTCTATAATATTAAAGGTAGGTTTATTTGAACAGTGAGAGACAGAATAACAACACAAATCCAGGAAAAAATGTTATAAATTGATTTGCATTTTAATGAGGGAAATAATTATTTGACCCCCTCTCAATCAGAAAGATTTCTGGCTCCCAGGTGTCTTTTATACAGGTAACGAGCTGAGATTAGGAGCACACTCTTAAAGGGAGTGCTCCTAATCTTAGCTTGTTACCTGTATAAAAGACACCTGTTCACAGAAGCAATCAATCAGATTCCAAACTCTCCACCATGGCTAAGACCAAAGAGCTCTCCAAGGATGTCAGGGACAATATTGTAGACCTACACAAGGCTAGAATGGACTACAAGACCATCGCCAAGCAGCTTGGTGAAAAGGTGACAACAGTTCATGCGATTATTCGCAAATGAAATAAACATAAAAGAACTGTCAATCTCCCTCGGCCTGGGGCTCCATGCAAGATCTCACCTCGTGGAGTTGCAATGATCATGAGAACAGTGAGGAATCAGCCCAGAACTACACGGGAGGATCTTGTCAATGATCTCAAGGCAGCTGGGACCATAGTCAACAAGAAAACAGTTGGTAACACACTACGCCGTGAAGGACTGAAATCCCGCAGTGCCCACAAGGTCCCCCTGCTCAAGAAAGCACATATACATGCCCGTCTGAAGTTTGCCAATGAACATCTGAATGATTCAGAGGACAACTGGGTGAAAATGTTGTGGTCAGATGAGACCAAAATGGAGCTCTTTGGCATAAACTCAACTCGCCGTGTTTGGAGGAGGAATGCTGCCTATGACCCCAAGAACACCATCCCCACCGTCAAACATGGAGGTGGAAACATTATGCTTTGGGGGTGTTTATCTGCTAAGGGGACAGGACAACTTCACCGCATCAAAGGGACGATGGACGGGGCCATGTACCGTCAAATCTTGGGTGAGAACCTCCTTCCCTCAGCCAGGGCATTGAAAATGAGTCGTGGATGGGTATTCCAGCATGACAATGACCCAAAACACACGGCCAAGGCAACAAAGGAGTGGCTCAAGAAGAAGCACATTAAGGTCCTGGAGTGGCCTAGCCAGTCTCCAGACCTTAATCCCATAGAAAATCTGTGGAGGGAGTTGAAGGTTCGAGTTGCCAAACGTCAGCCTCGAAACCTTAATGACTTGGAGAAGATCAGCGGACACAGCGGAGACATCGAGAGAGAGACACGGGGAGAGACACGGGTGGAGAGAGAGACACGGGTGGAGAGACACGGGTGGAGAGAGAGACACGGGGAGAGAGACACGGGTGGAGAGACACGGGTGGAGAGACACGGGTGGAGAGACACGGGCGGAGAGAGAGACACGGGTGGAGAGACACGGGTGGAGAGACGCGGGTGGAGAGACACGGGTGGAGAGACACGGGTGGAGAGAGAGACACGGGTGGAGAGACACGGGTGGAGAGAGAGACACGGGTGGAGAGAGAGACACGGAGACACGGGTGGAGAGACACGGGTGGAGAGACACGGGTGGAGAGACACGGGTGGAGAGACACGGGTGGAGAGAGAGACACGGAGACACGGGTGGAGAGAGAGACACGGGTGGAGAGAGACACGGGGAGAGACACGGGTGGAGAGAGAGACACGGAGACACGGGTGGAGAGAGAGACACGGGTGGAGAGAGACACGGGGAGAGACACGGGTGGAGAGAGAGACACGGAGACACGGGTGGAGAGAGAGACACGGGTGGAGAGAGAGACACGGAGACACGGGTGGAGAGACACGGGTGGAGAGACACGGGTGGAGAGACACGGGTGGAGAGACACGGGTGGAGAGAGAGACACGGAGACACGGGTGGAGAGAGAGACACGGGTGGAGAGAGACACGGGGAGAGACACGGGTGGAGAGAGAGACACGGAGACACGGGTGGAGAGAGAGACACGGGTGGAGAGAGACACGGGGAGAGACACGGGTGGAGAGAGAGACACGGAGACACGGGTGGAGAGAGAGACACGGAGAGAGACACGGGGAGAGACACGGGTGGAGAGAGAGACACGGAGACACGGGTGGAGAGAGAGACACGGGTGGAGAGAGACACGGGGTGAGACAGACACGGGTGGAGAGAGAGACACGGGGTGAGACAGACACGGGTGGAGAGACACGGGTGGAGAGACACGGGTGGAGAGACACGGGTGGAGAGAGAGACACGGGGAGAGAGACACGGGTGGAGACACGGGTGGAGAGACACGGGTGGAGAGAGAGACACGGGTGGAGAGACACGGGTGGAGAGAGAGACACGGGTGGAGAGACGGGTGGAGAGACGGGTGGAGAGAGAGACACGGAGACACGGGTGGAGAGACACGGGTGGAGAGAGAGACACGGGTGGAGAGACACGGGTGGAGAGACACGGGTGGAGAGAGAGACACGGAGACACGGGTGGAGAGAGAGACACGGGTGGAGAGAGACGCACGGGGAGAGACACGGGTGGAGAGAGAGACACGGAGACACGGGTGGAGAGAGAGACACGGAGAGAGACACGGGTGGAGAGAGAGACACGGAGACACGGGTGGAGAGAGAGACACGGGTGGAGAGAGACACGGGGTGAGACAGACACGGGTGGAGAGAGAGACACGGGGTGAGACAGACACGGGTGGAGAGACACGGGTGGAGAGACACGGGTGGAGAGACACGGGTGGAGAGACACGGGTGGAGAGAGAGACACGGGGAGAGAGACACGGGTGGAGACACGGGTGGAGAGAGAGACACGGGTGGAGAGACACGGGGAGAGAGACACGGAGACACGGGTGGAGAGAGAGACACGGGTGGAGAGAGAGACACGGGGAGAGAGACACGGGTGGAGAGAGAGACACGGAGACACGGGTGGAGAGAGAGACACGGGTGGAGAGAGACACGGGGTGAGACAGACACGGGTGGAGAGACACGGGTGGAGAGACACGGGTGGAGAGAGAGACACGGGTGGAGAGACACGGGGAGAGAGACACGGAGACACGGGTGGAGAGAGAGACACGGGTGGAGAGAGAGACACGGGGAGAGAGACACGGGTGGAGAGAGAGACACGGAGACACGGGTGGAGAGAGAGACACGGGTGGAGAGAGAGACACGGGGAGAGAGACACGGGTGGAGAGAGAGACACGGAGACACGGGCGAGGTAGGGAGACACGGGGTGAGACACGGGGACAAGGGGGGGGAGGCGGAGACACGCGGAGCCTCTGGCGGTCTCCACTCGTAGTTTATTCGGGTTCAAATAGTACAGAGCAGTGTAAATCACAACACTGATAAGTCTAGGGCAGTGTAAACCATAACACTGATAAGCATCACGCGTTAGCTCTTGTAGCAACATCAACATCACCAACATCATCATCAACATCACCAACATCTTCATCATCAATATCAACATCATCAATATCAACATCACCATCATCACCAACATCCTCATCATCAACATCATCATCATCACCACCACGAGGGGTGAAGGGAGGGGGGCGAGGGGGGAGGGGGGCGGAGGGCAGGAAGTGGATAAGAGCAAGTCGTGGGGCGAGGGGGGCGGGGCGAGGGACGAGGGGGGCGGGGCGAGGGGCGAGGGGGGCGGGGCGAGGGGCGAGGGGGGCGGGGCGAGGGGCGAGGGGGGCGGGGCGAGGGGCGAGGGGGGCGGGGCGAGGGGTGAGGGGGGCGGGGCGAGGGGCGAGGGGGGCGGGGCGAGGGGGGGCGGGGCGAGGGGCGAGGGGGGCGGGGCGAGGGGTGAGGGGGGCGGGGCGAGGGGCGAGGGGGGCGGGGCGAGGGGCGAGGGGGGCGGGGCGAGGGGTGAGGGGGGCGGGGCGAGGGGCGAGAGGGGCGGGGCGAGGGGCGAGGGGGGCGGGGCGAGGGGTGAGGGGGGCGGGTTTGAGGGTGAACTCAAGTGACCCGACAGACGTTGAGCGCAATTCTTTGTTTATTTCGGTAAAGTCGCGTAGATAGGGAACACAATATTAATAATAAAAATAATAAAATATAAAAATTTAATAAAATACAAAAAAATAAAATAACAAATAAATAAATAATACCCCCCGTTGACAGGAAGAGGGAAATAAATCCCCTCCCCCACAATTTGGCGCCCTTTGCACGACGCGACTCGGTGAGCAGCTCAGTTCAAACGGCGTGAACACGCGGGACGCATCGTGGGTGGTGATCACCACCAACATCAACAACATCATCACCACCACCATCACCACCAACACCACCACCATCATCACCATCAACACCACCATCATCACCATCAACACCATCACCACCATCAACACCACCACCATCATCACCACCACGATCACCACCACCACCATGACCCCCCCTCCTCCTGCCCGGCCCCACCCTCCCCTCTCGTCGTCTCCCGTAGCTCGAGCCGGCGGCGGCTACGAGCAGCAGCAGCAGCAGGAGCAGCAGCATCATCATCAGCAGCATCATCAGCAGCAGCAGCAGGAGCATCATCATCAGCAGCAGGAGCAGCAGCAGGAGCATCATCAGCAGCATCAGCAGCATCATCAGCAGTATCATCATCAGCAGCATCATCATCAGCAGTATCATCAGCATCATCATCAGCAGTATCATCAGCAGCAGTATCATCAGCAGCAGTATCATCAGCATCATCAGCAGCATCATCATCAGCATCATCATCATCAGTGAGCATCAGCATCATCATCAGCAGCATCATCATCAGCATCATCATCAGCAGAATCATCATCAGCATCATCAGCAGCAGCATCATGCCCACGTGGACGCTGTGCTTGGGCAGCAGGACGAGCTTGATCTCCATGGCCGGCATCCGCTACGAGGGCACCCTGAGCGGGGTCAACTCGGACGACTGCACCGTCGCCTTGGCCAAAGGTCACGCACGGGAGGGTCACGGGTCAAAGGGGGTGAGGGCTTAAACAGCAGGACGGCTGCTTGTGTTGTAGCCGAAACGTCGTGAGAATTATTTTATTATGTTTTATTTTATTATTTTATTACTTCCCTTCTACGTGATGACTTTACCGAAAGAACCAAGAAGATGAATCCCTGCAGTCACGAAAGCTTTAAATCGAAAAAAAATCAGTGACTGCTTTAGTGTTAAAATACGGTGCTGTATTTTTAGGATAGTGTGTTTACAATATCATTTTACGTAGATATCCACATTCACTTAATATTTTTCTTCCGCAAGTTTTTATTGAAAATGCAACAATATTTGACATCATCTCAAAAACCCGACGTGATGGACAAAAAACCGACGCCAGGGTTGGGATGAAAAGCGCGACCTCCGATAGACACCAGGCGAGGTGGTTCACTTCTCACCACGGTGGCGCCCACACACCCACCACCACCACGGCAGCGTTAGCGGCGTTAGCGTCGTCTTTGTGCGTGCGCAGTGCGTGTGTGCGGCACGGAGGGTCGCCCCGCCGAGCGAGCCGTCGCCCCTCGCGAGGAGATCTACGACTACATCATCTTCCGTGCCAGCGAGATCAAGGACCTGGCGGCGTTGGGGTGCCCGCTCTCCGCTCTGCACCCCCACCTGGCCGTCGTGCAGGTGAGAGGGGGGCAGCCGTTCTCTTCGCCGCCAAACTGGTTGGTTACTTTAGCGGGCAGGATCCCACCGAGATATTTAACTCTGATCATTGGTTGTTTACCCTGTAATCTGGCAACAAAACTGACAACTTTTTTTTACGAGGAGTCGTGTTTGCATTGACCGCAATACCTGCAGTCGGAATGCAAAACAAAAACACCCAACTCTGATAATGATTCGAGATTTGAAGCTTTGGTGACTGTAAAAAATACAATTTAAATTAATAAAAGTAAAATAAAAAAAACTTTTATTTTACTTTTATTAATTCTGATAATATATGCACTGTCCTTGAAGTTGATTGGTCCATACCCGAGACAGCTTTCCTTAGAGCCTAGTCTCACATGGAGTTGGTCCAGATGACGACAAAAGGCGCACAACTCAAAGACAATGCACCATCAGAGTATGAGAGCTCGGGGTAAAGCATTTACACCATTGGAACCTCATTTGCCAGTAGAAAAATATGATAATTGGTTTTTTACCCTTCTATCTGGCAACAAAACTGACACCTTTTTTTACAAGGAGTCATGTTTGCATAGACCACAATACCTGCAGTTGGAATGCAAACAAAAACATAACTCTGATAATGTGCACTGTCCTTGAAGTTGATTGGTCCACACCCGAGACAGCTTTCCTTAGAGGCCAGTCTCACATGGTGTTGGACCAGATGACGCCAAAAGGCGCACAACTCAAAACATGACTCCTTGTAAAAAAGGTGTCAGTTGTGTTGCCAGATAAAAGGATAAAAAAACCAATTATCATATTTGTTGTTACTGGACACGCTACGATTGATCCCGTCGCTGCGTGACCACCCACCCTCGCCCCCGTCCAGTCCTCCTCGTCACGGGGCGCCCGCCCCCTGCGGGACACGCAGCGCGGAGCCCGCCGGCTCGTGCGGGACACGGCGGACGGGCGGCGGCCTGCACACGGAGGAGCCACAGGTACGGGCGGCGCGGTAAACGCTGGGGATGCAAAGGTGGCCGGGCGTTGTACCGCCTGCCCGCCCGCCCCCCTCTTGCAGCCAGCAGCCTTTGCAGGTGCTCGCTAACGGAGCTTATCCTGACGTCGTACGGAAATCCGATGTTTTTTTTATTTAAATCCTTTATATTAAGTTCACTTGCTTGCGCGCTTAGGACCGTGCAAATCTTTCGGTCATTTTTTAACCCACTTCCCGTGATGCAATCGAGCTGATATTTTGCACACAGACTCGTTGTGCGTGACAATTTATGTTCGTGAAAAAAAAATTCCTAAATTTTACACTTTTTAGGTAAATTTTTTTTTATATTTAATTACCAATTTCTTAATGCTGCCACGCAATCATCTGACCCATAGGTGGCAGCCATCTCAAGCCAGAGGACGAGAGGACTCTAGCCGCCACGCATATAAAGGATTTATAGTGAAAAACTTAGTTTTTACGGGTTATACTTGTTTAAATCCTTTATATTAAGTTAGCTTGCTTGCTTGCGCGCTTACGACCATGCAAAATTTTCGGTCGTTTTTTAACCCACTTCCCATGATCCGATCGAGCTGACATTTTGCACACAGACTCGTTGTGTGTGACAATTAATGTTCGTAAAAAAAAATTCATATTTAATTTAAAATACCAATGTGATAAAAATGAAACTCTTACTCAAGAAAAACAGAAATGAATAATAAAATAAAACCGATGCCACGCATATAAAGGATTTATAGTGAAAAACACATGCACACACACACACGCGCACACACGCACTCACACACACTCACACACACGCACACACGCACACACGCACACACTCACACACTCACACACTCACACGCTCACACGCTCACACGCACACACACTCACACACACACTCACGCACACACTCACTCACGCACACACGCACACTCACACACGCACACACTCACTCACGCACACACGCACACTCACACACACTCACACACACGCACACACGCACACACGCACACACTCACACACTCACACACTCACACGCTCACACGCTCACACGCACACACACTCACACACACACTCACGCACACACTCACTCACGCACACACGCACACTCACACACGCACACACTCACTCACGCACACACGCACACTCACACACACTCACACACACACACACTCACACACACTCACACACACTCACACACACACTCACACACACTCACACACACACACACTCACACACTCACTCACACACACTCACACACACTCACACACACACTCACACTCACGCACACACACACACACTCACACACACTCACACACACACTCACACGCAGCTGCACTATCTCCTACAGCCGCGAGGAAGAGCGCCACGGTGGAGCGGGGGGTGCAGACGTCCCCCCAGCGTCAGCAGCGACGGTGTCAGAGCACGAAGCGGATTGCCGCCCAGACTCCCCGTGGGGCCCCGGAGCCGTGCGTTGAGTTGGACGCGGAGTTTGACTTTGCGAGCGCCAACGCTCGGCTGGACCGTGCGGCGCTGGATAGGGAGTTCCGGGGCAGGGAGGCCAAGCGGAGAGAAGGTGGGGCACTCACTCACACGCTGCCGCCACCCAACAACTCACTTCCTCCGCTGCTGTATCGGCAAAATAGAAATCTTGTCACTCAATTTTGACACACTTCCCAATGTGGTACCGACTGCAAACTTGTCATCATCACGGTGGCTATGAGATGTTAACTACCTCGCCTGGTGTGCAGGAGGGCGTGGGTTTGATCCCAACCCTGACGATGCCTGCTGCTGTATATTTGGAGTTTGTGTGTTTCTCTCATCATCATCATCATCACGGTGGCTAGGAGATGTTGACTAACTAAATTACCTTAAAATCGTTGGAATACCTTATGCCAGGAAAAGTGTGTTGACCATCTTCTTGGTTCTTTCGGTAAAGTCATCACGTAGAAGGGAAATAAAATAATTCTCACGACGTTTCGGCCACAACGCAAGCAGCCGTCCTCAGGCGAAGACCAGGTTTGTCGAGGAGACAGCGCCTGAATGTGTGTTGACCAGTGGAGTCTGGGTTGGGTGGGGGGGCGGATCTTTGTGTGTTTAATTGTCCAGGCGACCCCCTCACTTCTGCTGTTGCGTCTCCCCTTGTGCAGCGGACAAGCTGAGGGGTCCCCGCACGAGCTCCCCCGTCTTCCTGGACGGCTGCTTCTACGACAAAACCAGGAGCTTCTTTGACAACATTTCCAGGTAACGGCCGTCTCTGCCGCTCGCTCGTGGTGTGTGTGTGTTCTTGTTGGATCTCCTCGCCTTCAAGTGCAACGCCTGCTGGGGGAGGCGATGGGGGAGGCGGCAGTACAGCAAGCGGGCTCCGTCTCCGTCTGTGCGGAGATGGTGTTGCTGTCCCCCCCACCCCCCACCTCGTGTATAGAAACTCACAAACGGAGTTGGCCTAACCATCCCAATATAGGATGACAGAGCTTGGGCAAATTGTTTGTGCCGTTCCTGGCACATCTGGAAAGTTTGGGCGTCGCAAAAATGCGCGACGTTAACTTGAATCGGCGCGCCAAAACAAATGCACGCCGCGTGAATTGCGTAGTTGCACTTGATTCGGAAAAAATCCCAGCCCCGAGAATAAGAGAAGGACGTGCAACTGTTTGACTGGGCACCAGACGAACATTTGTCTAGACGCAGGATGGCGTGGAGCCGTGCAGGGACCTCTCTGATGTCGGGTTTAGACCATTGGAATATCATTTGTCAGCAGTAGCAGAATATGATCATTGTTTTTTTTACCCTTCTATCTGTCAACAAAACTGACACCTTTTTTTACGAGGAGTCGTGTTTGCATTGACCACAATACCTGCGGTCAGAATGATAATATATGCACTGTCCTTGAAGTTGATTGGTCCATACCCGAGACAGCTTTCCTTAGAGCCTAGTCTCACATGGGTTGGAACAGATGACGCATTACGGCTGCAGGTATTGTGGTCTATGCAAACATGACTCCTTGTAATAAAGGTGTCAGTTTTGTTGCCAGATAAAAGGGTAAAAAAACAATTATAATATTTTTTGCTGGCAAATGAGGTTCCAATGGTAGCCGTTTGCGACCCTGGTGCGGCCGGGTACGGGTAGGCCGTGAGTCACTGGTGAGTCACCGTTTGTCACTCATTCCGGGTAGGGTACGGGTAGGGTATTGGTACGGGTAGGATACGGGTACCCGTTTGCGACCCTGGTGCGGCCGGGTACGGGTAAGAAATCAAAACCCGTCTGCGACCTCTGACCAGCCGTGCTCACCCCCCCACCCCCGCCCCTCCCCCCTCCTCCTCCTCCCGCCAGGAACTGCCGCGTGACGTTGGCGGAGCAGTGGCGCCTGAACGTGGCGACGTTCGGGGCGGACCTCTCCATGTCGCTCGCTCGCCGCTCCCGCCGATGCGGGGCCCTGTGGGGGGGGGACGGGCGGCCGTGCGCGCCCAAAGCCGCCGGTGGGGGGGGGCGGGCAGTCTCCTCCTCCGGCCGAGGTGCAGCCTAGACAGGTGACGACCGTGGTGACGGTGACAGCAGCTCAGCTTATTGGAGAGTATATTTAGTATATTGATGATACTGATGTAGTTTATAATTACGGTCGCGCCCAAAGCCGCCGGGGGGGGGAGGGGGGGGGCAGCCTCCTCCTTCTCCGCCGGCCGAGGTCCAGCCTAGACAGGTGACGACCACGGTGACGGTGACAGTAGCTCGGCTTATACTGGTAGGAACGAAGTGGACCAGCCTACAATAGATTATATCGTCCGTCCGATGTCCGATTAGGTGTAGCAACATCGCCCCCTACTGCAAACACTTGGCAGGACCCTACAAAAACCTTTAGACTCAGTGAGGCTTTCCTGGCTAAACAAGTGTAACATTCCCTTATAATTCCCTGAGATAGTTTTTAATTAAAACATTTAAATTAAAAATTAACTCACAGCAGCCTAAAGCCTACAGCTAGGCCTAAAGCCTAGAACTAGGCCTCAAACTCTCCCTTCGTATCGTATTTGTTCGCTCCTACCAGCCCACCCCGCAGGGACCTGTTTGGAGAGTATATTTAGTATATTGATGACACTGATGTAGTTTAAATTTACGTTTTTTTTACGTGGTAGCTTAGCTGCTGCAGCTACCGTACTATTAACATTCCTTCCCTTTCTAGATTTGAAGCTTTCGTGACTGCGAGGATTCATATTGTTGGGTTTTTTTCGGTAAAGGCACGTATGTAAAAAAATTAAAATTAATAAAAGTAAAATAAAATAAAAATCACGACGTTTCGGAGGCAACACAAGCTTCCGTCTTCAGGTGGAACCGTCACAGCCACGACAGCTGTATCAAGTAAATGAGAGATTACATTTACGAGATTACATTTACTTGATACAGCTGTCGTGGCTGTGACGGTTCCACCTGAAGACGGAAGCTTGTGTTGCCTCCGAAACGTCGTGATTTTTATTTTATAATTTTAATTTTTTTACCTATGCGACTTTACCGAAAAAACCTAAGAATATGATTCCTTCCCTTTATTAATGCTACCCCTACTCCCTCCCTTCGATGCTGCTAATCCTGCATAATATGACTTTGAAAACCCCCCCGCCCACCTCCTACACATTCCACAAGTAGTGACTAATCCCATATCGGAATTTTCCACAAATAAACTACATTCCTCTGTTATGTGAGTCCCTTTGTCAAGGCGCTCTCCTCCTCTAACCCAGCTTAAATATACGCTGCAAAGCCTGGCGGTGTTCATTCAGACGCTGTCTTCCCGGCAGGTGAGGGCGGCTCTCTGCAACACGATAACGGAAGTCTGTTGATGTTGCTTGTGAGGTTCTCCCCGTGAGAACACGCTGCTCCGTGGAGGATCAGAGAGAGACCATTTCATGGGGTATGCCGATAGCATAATAAGTATAACCCGTAAAAACAAAGTTTTTCCCTATAAATCCTTTATATGCGTGGCGGCTAGAGTCCTCTCGTCCTCTGGCTTGAGATAGCTGCCACCTATGGGTCAGATGATTGTCTGCCAGTATTAAGCAATTGGTAATTAAATATTTAATTTGTTTTCCCTAAACAGTGTAAAATTTTGGAAAAAAAAATTCACAAACATTAATTGTCTCGCACAACGAGTCTGTGTGCAAAATGTCAGCTCGATTGGATCACGGGAAGTGGGTTAAAAAACGACCGAAAGATTTGCACGGTCGTAAGCAAGCAAGCACGCAAGCACGCAAGCAAGCAAGCGAACTTAATATAAAGGATTTAAAAATGAGATGTGATGGAGCAAATCTTGAGATCAGATTTGGAAATCGGCACCCTGAAATTAGTCCAGAACAACTGCAAAAGTCCAGGCCAGAACTACATGTTGTTGTTTTGTTTGTTGACCAGTGCGATACAATTTGTGTATTGCATCGTGAACAACTCTTCTAAATCAACGAGCGCTCACACAAAGATGTGGAGGAGTTTGTTTCAAACGGCAGTCGCTTGTCAACGCTCTCGTGCCCCACGTTAGAGATTGGATGGCGCGGAGAAATGTCGGCCACAATCGGCAATTCTCCAAGTGACAATCCAGCCCTTTGCGGGGTTTGACCACGATCTGTCGTGTTGCTTCTTGACGTCGCTAATGCCGCTCACTGCTGCTGCTGCTGCTGTTGTTGTTGCAGGTTGCAGAGAACCACAGCTCCCACCCAGAGCGTACACATATTGGGGGTTTGTTTGATTTGAAAAAAAAAAATAGTGTTGGGTCTGAAGAAACGTTACGTTAAGGACTGCATGTGGGTTTCGATTTAAAGATTCTTTCGTGACTGCAGGGATTCATCTTCTTGGTTCTTTCGGTAAAGTCACATAGAAGGGAAATAATAAAATAATAAAAACATAATAAAATACAATTCTCACGACGTTTCGGCCACAACGCAAGCAGCCGTCCTCAGGTGAAGAACAGGTCTGTCGGAAAGACAGCGTCTGTCTTTCCGACAGACCTGTTCTTCACCACAACGCAAGCAGCCGTCCTCAGGTGAAGAACAGGTCTGTCGGAAAGACAGCGTCTGTCTTTCCGACAGACCTGTTCTTCACCACAACGCAAGCAGCCGTCCTCAGGTGAAGAACAGGTGTGTCGGAAAGACAGCGTCTGAATGAACACACCAAGCTTGGCAGCAATATACACAGCAATATACGCTGCCAAACCTGGTGGTGTTTCATTCAGACGCTGTCTTTCCGACAGACCTGTTCTTCACCTGAGGACGGCTGCTTGCGTTGTGGCCGAAATGTGGTGAGAATTGTAATTTATAATGTTTTATTATTTCCCTTCTACGTGACTTTACCGGAAGAACCAAAAGTCTGCATGTGGGTTTTGTTAATTGATACGCGATTCTTGCAATGTTTATGGTGTGTACACAAGGTATACACCGCGTTTGGTTGAACACTTTAGACGTTTATAATTTTAAAGAAAGTTTTGAACTTTAGTCTAATGGGTGAAGGTAAAACATGTCTGTTAAGTCGGACTTTAAATTGTCTCCTGAAATGGGTGCTTTTGTGCGACCGGTCTTAATCTGAAATGAGCATGGACATGACAATTTAATTGAGTTGTGTTTGTATTTCACAAGGCAGCATTAAATGTTGCGGGATTTATATTGGCGCATTGGCCGTGGTGAAGTGTCTGGCGAAGATTAAAGTTGACCGGCTGTTGGCTTTAGAACATTGCTTCTTTGAATTTACTGCGTTGCTTTAGATTGCTAGTGTGTATAGTGTGTGTGTACTGTGTGTACTCTGTGTGTGTAGTCTGTGTGTGTACTGTGTGTGTGTGTACTCTGTGTGTGTAGTCTGTGTGTGTGTACTGTGTGTGTACTCTGTGTGTGTGTACTGTGTGTGTACTCTGTGTGTGTACTGTGTGTCTGTACTTTGTGTGTCTACTCTGTGTGTGTACTGAGTGGGTGGGTGAGTGAGTGGGGTGAGTGAGTGGGTGGGTGAGTGGGTGGGTGAGTGGGTGAGTGAGTAGGTGAGTGAGTGGGTGAGTGAGTGGGTGAGTGGGTGAGTGGGTGGGTGAGTGGGTGGGTGAGTGGGTGAGTGAGTGGGTGAGTGAGTGAGTGGGTGAGTGAGTGGGTGGTTATTTAGCAGGGTTAAACTATTTACTCAAATGTTTAATCTGCACTAATTACGAATCTTTTGTTTTATCATCAGACAAATTACAAGGAAACTGATTTTTTTTCATCAGTGCGAAGTCGTGTGAAGTAGTAGATTCAGTGTGACGCGGCTCGCAGGGAAGGGTGCGACGGACCTCGCTGTGAATCCCAACAAGCGCCGAGTGAACGTTGCCTAGATTTGGCAAACGCGGCGTTAACGAGAACAACGGAATAAACGGAACAACGGCACTTGGTCGCTAAGCGCATTCAAGTGGCGACGTCACAAAACAACGGCGCTTCCACATCATGAAGATGAAGCGCATGCAGAGTGTGTAGTAGGGTAGTGCATAGTGCAGTGTAGCTTGTGGCGTGTCGCACGCGAGTGAAGTGTATATAGTAGAACGCAGCTCGTAGTGAGGGGTACACGCTGGATGTCGATGCCCTAAACAGCTTTGTGGGGGTCGCGATTTCAGTCGAGGCCCCCCCTAGACTGGGGCTGGAGGCTACTTGCAAGCGAATTGATCGACGGTCCACGGGCAAAGCTTGCACTTGACGTTCTCCTTGAGCTGCTCCTTGCATCCGCACTGCGTCTCCAGCGTGACTGGGGAGGGAACAGCAGAGGGGAGAGAGCTCACGAGATCGTCGCTATTGTGCGACCGCCGTTAACGTCGAGGTTAACAAAATCTCCGCGCACTTCTCCTCCCGACGTTGTCAAACGACCAGAGGTCGCAACCGGGTACCCGATACCCGTACCCTACCCAATACCCGTACCCTACCCGATACCCGTACCCTACCCAATACCCGTACCCTACCCGATACCCGTACCCTACCCAATACCCTACCCGATACCCGTACCCTACCCGATACCCGTACCCTACCCTACCCAATACCCTACCCGATACCCGTACCCTACCCGATACCCATAGCCGTTTGCGACCCTGATGCGGCCGGGTACGGGTGGACCGTGAGTCACTGGTGAGTCACCGTTTGTCACTCATTTCCCAACGTCTTGTCTCTTCTCACAATTCAAGTTCCTAGAATCAACCCACCCGCGCCTGCAACATGGCTTCATCCCAGAGGTCGCAATCGGGTACCCGATACCCGTACCCTACCCGTACCCGGCCGGGTACGGGTAGGGTACGGGTACGGCCGGGTACCCGCTTGCGACCCTGGTGCGGCCGGGTACGAGGGGTAAGGAATCAGAACCGTTTGCGACCTCTGCGAATGACCCGCGGGAAGCGGCCGTCGCAGAGCCACTGCCGACGAGATCCCTTCGAGCGACCTAAGGATCACGGAAAGCAGTTCTACAGAAATGCATTTTCGGTGTGATTGCGTGGTGTACGGTACTTATAGTAGTGAAGACTGTGCGTAGTGGTATAGGGACGGTGTGATTGCGTGGGTGTACGGTACTGTATAGTGGTGAAGAACAGTGTGAAGTGGTATAGGGACAGGGTGATTAGAGAGAGACTGGTGCATGCGTGGAGACAATTAAAATGCAAATCAATTTATAACATTTTTGACACGCGTTTTTCTGGATTTTGTTGCTGTTATTCTGTCTTTTACTGTTCAAATAAACCCACCATTAAAATTATAGACTGATCATTTCTTTGTCAGTGGGAAAACGTACAAAATCAGCAGGGGATCAAATAGTTTTTTCCCTCACTGTAGCTCACTGGCCCTTGCCTGGTCAAATATGAAATAGTTGTTGCTTTTTAAATCCTTTATATTAAGTTCACTTGCTTGCGCGCTTACGACCGTGCAAATCTTTCGGTCGTTTTTTAACCCACTTCCCGTGATCCAATCGAGCTGACATTTTGCACACAGACTCGTTGTGCGTGACAATTTATTTTCGTGAAATTTTTTTTCCATAACTTTACACTTTTTAGGAAAAAAAATTATATTTAATTATCAATTGCTTAATGGTGGCAGGCAATCATCTGACCTATAGGTGGCAGCCATCTCAAGCCAGAGGATGAGAAGACTCGAGCCGTCACGCATATAAAGGATTTATAGTGAAAAACTTTGTTTTTACGGGTTAATTTTTAATGACTAGTTTTAGTTAATTTTCGGGGGGGGGGTTAGGGAGAGGTGAGGGGCGAGGGGCTCACCTTGTGAGATGTCGTATCCTCTGTCACAGCACGTGATGACGGAGCATGCCTCCTTGCCCTCGGAGGTGACGTTGCACCGCCGCCCCACCGCGCCGGGGATGCCGCTGGCGTCGTTGCGCTCGCAGTAGCCGGGGCTGGCGCTCACATGCATCAGCTCGCTCGCCGTGGGCGCCGTCAAGCGCTCGTTCACCGGCTCCAGACGCCAGCGGGACCAGCGGGTGGCACCAGCAACGCTGCTGCTGCTGTTGTGGCGGACCAGCTGCATGGCGGAACTTGTGTCGTACTTGTGCTGCAACCACCATCATCACCATCGTCATCATCATTATCATCATCAATATCATCACCATCATCATTATTATCACCACCATCATCACCATCATCATTATCATCATCATCATTATCATCATCACCATCATCATTATCATCATCACCATCATCATTATCATCATCACCATCATCATTATCATCATCACCACCATCATCACCATCACCACCATCATCGGGGGATGTGGTGGTTGTCGAGTGAATGCGGGGAGCTCCCTTAGCTGTTAGGGACCCCCCCCCCCCGCCTGTAACCCCCCAATGGATGAATCCTCGTCACACCCACACTCCCTCTGGGGGCAGTCCCACCCAGCAGCTGTGAGCAGCTCACCTTCAGCAAGTTCCCAACTTGGTGGAAGTCGGCGAGCTGCTGCCAGCAGATCTTCAGCATGCAGCGGCCAAAAAGCAGGTGGCACTTGCAGTCCATGTGCGCCAGATTGTACACCGCCTGTAGCACCACCACCACCACTACCAGCGTCACTACCACCACCACCGTCATCACCACCACCAGACATCACCACCACCACCGTCAATGTCACTACCACCACCACCACCACCGTCATCACCACCACCACCACCACCGTCATCACCACCACCAGACATCATTACGCTAAAACATTACCGGTAGAAGTTCAAGCGAGAACCATTGCGTTAATCACGATTGGTAATACAACCCTAGGCAAGGAGGCCAAACCTAATTAGCATGGAGTAACTTTTTTTTATTATAAAAAAAAAAAAGACAACATCTACAACGACCCACCACCCCGTTCACACACTCACCAGCCGACCCGCCTCGTTGTCGTGCAAATTCATCGCCAAAGACTCCCCTCTCTGCCTGCTACGACTGCCATCGCCCACATTCACGAACCACTTGGCGAACTGGTATCCGTATTCGACGTCGTCCGATGAGCCGCCCCGCCGAGCACGCGGCGGTAGCCTCATGGCGTCGGGAACGACCCAGGAGCAGCTGCCCCGGAACTGCCCCTGGCGGCAGCCGCGCGCCACCACGTGGGACACTCCGGCGGCGACGATGGCGGAGAGGAACGCATCCTCGCGAGAGCCGGGGGACACGCCGGGGAACACTCCCGTGGTGTAGCGCGTAAAGCCTGCCGGGGCGGCGGGAGGAGGAGGACATGCCGAGCAGGTGTAGGGGGGAACGTCGGCTATTTGTAACGTGAGGTTACATCCGGGTCGTTGACGGATTACAACTCGTCACGATGATTGGCTCTGCCGGTCCTGGTCCATAGCCAATGGGGGGAAGCCTGGGGGCGTGGCCCTGACGTCATGGCAAGGTGACAGCTGTTTGTAGATGATTGGCCCTGCTGGCTTTGGCCACAGCCAATGGGGAGACGAGTCAGGGGCGTGGTCCCGGGAGCCTACGATGGAGTCTGGAAGATTCCATGGAGGCTAACCGGGATTGGTGGAAACGTACCACGTGACCCGGGTATTAAATAGGGGTGGAGACGAACAACACGTGGTCAGAACGGGAACGAACGGAGGAAGGGGGCCACGCAAGAACGGGGGTCCAGGCTGCCACGTGGCTGCGCGTGTCTCTCTCTGTCTATCCCTCTTACGCTGCCTGTCAGCAGCGTGTCAATGTCACTACCACCACCACCGTCAAGTCACTATCACCACCACCACCACCACCGTCAATGTCACTACCACCACCACCGTCATCGTCACCACCGTCACCACCACCACCATCGTCAAGTCACTACCACCACCACCACCACAGTCATCGTCACCACCACCACCACCATCGTCAAGTCACTGCCACCACCACCAAAAGCCGAGTGGCGTAGGGGAGGGGGACCCCCGTGGAGGAGGGACGCGGCAACTCTGAAGTGGAGAGTTGCGATGGGGAGCTGGACGACCCCCCCCTTCACCCCCCCACGCAGCTCGTGTGCGCCTCGGGGAAGCGGCAGGAGACCCTAGGTGCGAGTGGACGTGGCGGGCGAACAAACGTCAACGTCGAGGGGAAACTCGCTTGTTGCCGGCGGAGGCTCCGACCCGGGGCGACGGTCCCCTTACCTGACTCGGGGTCCGGCGCGTTCTCCGCGCCAGGCACGGTGCAGTCCCACCGCTTGCCCTTGAACTGGTCGCGACACTCATGCAGCGCCAGGCGGACGCCCTGCACCACCGCGTGCATGTGGTCCAGGCGGCGCAGGCACATCTTGCGCTGCACGGGGGATAGTCCCGGAGCCCCGATGCACAGCGGCCGATACTCGGTGGTGTTAGAGTGGAGGGCCCACTGCGCAAGCGGCCTGCAGAGGGGTGGGAGTCGCGGTGGCTAGGAGATGTTAACTACCTCGCCTGGTGTACAGGAGGTCGTGGGTTAGATCCCGAACCTGACGCCTGCTGCTGCTGTATATTTGGAGTTTGCGTGTTTCTCTCTCTCATCATCACGGTGGCTAGGAGATGTTGACTACCTCGCCTGGTGTGCAGGAGGTTGTGGGTTCGATCCCGACCCTGACGCCTGCTGCTGTATATTTGGAGTCTGCGTGTCTCTCTCTCATCATCATCACGGTGGCTAGGAGATGTTAACTACCTCGCCTGGTACGCAGGCAGTCGTGGGTTCGATCCCAACCCCTTACAAGTAAACCCGTAAAAACAAAGTTTTTCACTATAAATCCTTTATATGCGTGGCGGCTAGAGTCTTCTCGTCCTCTGGCTTGAGATGGCTGCCACCTATGGGTCAGATGATTGTCTGCCACCATTAAGCAATTGGTAATTAAATATTTAATTTGTTTTCCCTAAACAGTGTAAAA